AAAAAGTATGATCAGATATAGCACAAAAATAAATTACTAAGTATTATTGTGTGCATTATGGATATTCCTCAGTATTTAACAAATGACTTTTGGCCATTGTCTTTATCCACAATTTAGCTGATGTAGAATCAACACTTCCTCTCAGAAGAGCCTCTGTACACAATGGCAGCTCATTTTCTCCGTTAGTTGAATCACCCATCAATTGCAATAAAATCTTTTCCCCATATTTTTAGTTAATTCTTCTGTTTTGATGCATTACTGGAACAGGTATATTTTTGCAAACATTTCTACTTACTTTTAAAACTTTGGTTTAAAAAAACACTATCTTTTCTGGTTCTATTTCTCTTGAAAATCATGTTTTTTTACTTACCTGATGACATTTCAGCATTTTTTGTTTTCCAAATCTTGCACAAAACTGGCTGTGAATTTTTAACAGTTAGAAGCATTGTATTGGCACATTTTTGATCACCACCATTTCTGATTTTTGTTTTAACTGAAGATATCCCAAGTCATCAACGATCCATCTGTACAAACACGCTTCAAATTTTATCCTTTTTTCTTGTCAGTCCAGTAAAACTTCTATCCTTAAGACTATCCAAAAGAATTACTTTTTACCCAGAAAATGCCATCTGAAAATCTTGTTGGGTAAATTCAAGGGTGCTAACTTATGTTTTGGTGTCAGTATCTGGGCAGGCTGCATTTAGATCAAATTTGACATTTTTAGACAAGACCAGAACTCAAACGGTTGAACTGTCAAAAGCCAAAAGTGGGATCAGTTTTCCAAAAAACTATATTGCTATTCAGTTTTGGTTTTTGATGTTATTTACATATTGTAAAAAAATTAAATATTCCTTTCTAGTGAAGTTGAAGTAAATGAAAAGAAGGATCGTGTAAATGATGCTTTGAATGCTACTCAAGCATCAGTAGAAGAAGGAATTGTTACAGGTGGAGGAACTGCTTTATTGTGTTGCCTTCCTATCCTTAATGATATCAAAGCTGAAAACGGTGATCAGAAAATAGGAATTGATATTGTGCAAAATGCACTAAAAGTCCCATGCATGCAAATTGCTCAAAATGCTGGTGTAGATGGTTCTGTAGTAGTACAAAAAATTATAGATTCACCAAATGAAGTTGGTTACGACACTCTCTGTCGGCAATACGTTAATATGATTGATGCTGGAATAATAGATCCAACAAAGGTTGTAAGAACAGCCTTGATGGATGCAGCAGGTGCTGCTTCATTACTCACAACTGCAGAAGCTGTTGTTGTTGAACTACCAAAGGAAGAAAAAGAAATGCCTGGCATGGGTGGAATGGGAGGCATGTATTAGATCTTGATGTTGACAAAAAATTCATTGCATTTATAAACTGCATCACAATAGTCATTTAATAGAAAATATTGCTGGTCATTGTAATTAAGTAGCATTATACCACTTTTGCTTTCAACAGCTCAGTTAATTTGGAAACAATGAAATTATCTTCACATAGAAAATAAGTTAATTCCAAATATCATTAAGTTCAGTGTTTATTATGTATGGCATGCTCATCCTTTGGGTCACAACCTGCTTTTGACCACTGTGACTTTTGGATTCTAAGATCCTCAAGATTGATTCACTATCAGCAAATTCATCTATGTCTGTTCAAATTGTCTTAGCATTAAATGGCACTGATAGGCTTGAATGTTGACAGACCCTTTATGTAAAAAAATTAAATGCACTGTGAATTATTTTTGGACAGTTTTTAGATAGGGCAATTCTAATAAATCAAGTTCTTGTGACTCAAATGTACTGATTTGTTGCAATATTACAATGTTATTGTGCATGTTCTGAGCGATTTGGAATAATGTGAAATGAAATTATTGCAAAAAGTTCATGCATGATATTTTTTGGAACGACTCTGAACAGTTTTATTGCTCTCAGATAAAATTTTGAAGTCCTTTTTAAAAGCTTTATCCTACTTTGACAATTATTATTTTTTGCAAAGAAAGATGGGGGAAAAATTTGTTTGTTTTCTTAGTGTCACTACTGAAAACAAGTACAGGATAACTTTAATGCTAAATGATTATTTATAGTACTATCTTTATCCATGTCTGTTTCTGCTCCATGTATCCTATTGGCCTTTTAAATTTTCCCTTTCTGACTGTCTGCCAGAAAAATCACAACTATCAGCACATGAAGCAGTGAAAAAATTACATAGTTTTTAAATTTCTGATAGACTTTAGCTATGGTTATACCATCTACACTTTCATCCCCAAGGTTGACACTACTGCGATTCTTTGCCACTTTTACCCTAGTTACATCCTCACTCAGCTATTTACAGGACACGGCAACTTTAATAATAAGCAATACTTGCATAGATTTAACCTTGGGGACAATCCACAATGCGATTGTTGTATTCAGGAGAACCAAACACCACTTCACTTAGTTTTTTGCTATAATAGGTACTGTACAATCACATTAGGGATAATTTAATGAGAGCTGCTATTCTTGAAGGGTACGATTGGACTTGCAATCTGCACCAACTCATTCACACATGTACAGCGTTCCATCATCTACTCGCATTTATATCCCTTAGTGGGGCTCTTGAGAACACTCACTCCAGAGGCACGGATAGCAATTAGCTTTTCCTTGCTTTGTTTCAACTGTTGGTATATAGCTACCTTTTAACTTTGTATTTTAATTCTTTTTTCTGTCTTCTCTTTCAGTCTAAATTTGCTTAGTCCTAATTGTAAGTTAGATTAGGGACTATTAACTTGGTTTCCAATTAGGATATAGGTTAGGTTAAATTAGATTAGGGTTTGTTAGCTTTAGTCCTCTGGTTAGGTTCATCCTAGGTTATTAGGTTAGTTTAGTTAATGAGTAAAGTTAATGTTTAAAAAAATAATAATAAATAAAAAAACTGGGGTTTTTCCATTTGTCTCTGTTGGTCTGTTCGTCTCGTCTAGTTTGTCATTGTGTTCATTTCCTTTTCGTGCTGTCTGTCTAGCTTAAGATTAAGATTTGCGATCACGTTCAGTTTTATTAGTATTAAGTAGATATGTCTTCCTACTAACAGCCACTTGGCACTAACTTCTACAGCTATTTGGCACGCAATTATTGGTGTTCGCTACACTCAAATTTACTTTTAGACCCTTTGGGGGAGTACGGCCTTGCAGCATAAAAACTGCACACCAACATCAAACATAGAGGGTACAGTAGCCATATGTATGCCATTCAGAGAGATGATGCCTTTCTCTACTATCTATCTCCTCTCTCTCCTCCTTCCCCTTCCCCTCTTTTCTGCTGGCTAAACACTTCGTGTACAACCAATGTCTTTGTCTTTGGTATAACCATACATACATGAATCTATTTTGATTGACACTGACTGTGTAACTGTCAAATATGACTGTGGAGTCAATATTTGATAGAGAAAAACTTTTGACTCCAATTCAGTTTTTAAATCTCCATGTATTAATAATGGTAGCCTATTAAAATTAGTAAATTTTACCACCATCATGTGAATTGTCAAGTTATTTTTTAGACTTTCGAATCAAATTTAAGAAATAAAGATAAAGACAGCCACTGTCAAAAATTGTCAGATTATTTCATATATTATTATTGTTGTTAAGAATGGAAATTAAACTAAAAGATTAAATGACTATCACACTATAAAAAATTAAGATTTTAATTGATCAGAGTTGGGAGTCGATACATTGCTTCCAGCTCCACAGCACCGTCCATAACTTAAAATTTCAATATTTTTACATAATAAAAAATAGCACCTGGTAGATTCTGTTTTTATTTCTGTCAGGTGGGCTTGCAAAAAAAGTTTTTTAATGTCTAGATAGTGGACCTTAAAAGAGGGGGCAGCAATGGATTCTGGTTCTGGGTTTAAAAGACACATTTTCATTCTTTAATAAACTTCAAAAGCTCAAAATATACACTAATTAATGTTTGAAATTGTATAAACAACAATTGTGACAAAAACTTTTGTAGTATGGTAAAAGTGAGAAATACACGAACATTACATAGCAATGCTGCTTCTTACAACTTGTGGCACTTAAATATGATGATAGTGACCTTGTACCGAAAAGTTTTTCTTCAGTTTAAGTAATAATCACAACAGTCATTTCAAGTTTCACTCAAAAGATATCAAAAATAATTTAAAACACTTCATATATTCAACAAATTAATATTCAAATTAGTTTTAAATTTCTTACTTCTTATAAAAATATGAAATTGAAAATAATTTTATACATTTCTTATGTACAGTACACTATACAGTTTTAAATTTACATTCATTAATCTATTTGCATCATAATTTTAATAATATCTAATCTCTATTCGGTATAACAATTAGTTTCGCTATGCAGGAAAAAACTGTAGAATGTATTTACATTCGTAAATTTTTATAAGAATAATCACAAATTTATCAATTTAGAATTGAAAAGGCAACTTTCACTTACTGGCATATAATTGGCATTGCTTTTTCATACAATCTATTTACTGTAGAGGACAGAGATAAGTGCTTAACATTATTTTCCACAAATGAAAATGTATGCATGCTTTTTAAACAGTTTATAAAACATTGTTGCATATACAAGGTTCCTACTCAAATTTTTGTTTTAAATTCCCTGACCCTCACATTCCTTACAGTATGGCACATTAACAAAATAAAACATTAACGTATGTGCATAGTAAGTTGAGTAGTGCTTCTCCAACTTTTTAACTGGTTATTTTTTCTAATAGTTATATATTTTTTATGATCAATGAATTAGTAAAATCAAAAATAAAATAAGAAAGACAGAATTATGACATGTCTTCTGTACACAAAACTAAAATGTTTTATTAAATAATAATTTATCCTGTTATTAACTCATAACTGTAAAACTTCATAGCTTTGAAAAAAAAGAAAAAAGCCATTAATTATTATTAAAAGAATTCAATATAATCCATGTATAAATTTATTAAATTTGTCCTTTAATAAATTTTCCGAACTTTTTCCCAGTTTATTAATATTTTATAAAGTTTCAGAAATCACAAATTGTTTTATGTGATCAAAATTATTAAAATGAAAAATAATATTAATTCAAATGGTATTATTTATCAAGTTATTTATCATTTTTTCCATCAGTTTATTAACATATTCCCTCAAATTGAAAGTGTAAATTGCAAGAGTTAGAAAGTTAAAATATTTCAAACATTTTTTATCAACATTAGATTATTAAGTGTTAGATTTTTCTTTCAAACTTATAATATTGCATAATTAATAAAGCAGTTTTAAAATCGAAAAAGTATTTAAAAATTTAAAAATAACAATTGATATTGTTGTATGCTTGTATATTTTGTGTGCTATAATTTTGGGGAAAATTTTGGATTCTGAAAATATTCTGCACTCTCTTTTCACAGTTGCATTGTATCACAATACGTCTGGCTGTCTGCAGACAGCTACACTTGGCCAATCATTTTGTCAGCAAACAAAATCAACAAGGCAACCAAGGAAACAAATTCCCTGACTTTCCAGGTGCGTAGGAACCCTGCATATATGAATAACAAATTTCTGGCACTTTGTAACGAAAGCTGTCGCGTAATATTAAAATAATCGATTATATATAACAACTCGGGCATTTTTTTCTTTTTTCCTTCACGTTTCTTCATTTCTGCTCTGGCGTTCGCATTTTAATTCTTCTTCCATCCCTTCTGAAGGATTATCTAAAGTTTTGCATTTTTCTGATAAGTTACTTATTAAATAATCCATTCTGAAAAAAAAATAAATAAATTAGCATAACAGATTTGACCATAGACAATTTAATTTTTAAAACAGTTATCTAGAATACTTAATAATACCTATTAATTCTTGCTTTGTTTTTTCTTTTCCAGTTATATAATACTCCATTTTATTCACTAACTTTTGATACATGAATTACAAAAAACATTCCATTTTTTCATAATTGCAAGTCCATACTTTCATTCATTTGTTATAGTAATGTAAGACTAAATTTATATGGCAGTGTCATAAAAAGAAATGATGCACAAAAATCATTTTTACAAGAATATATGGAATTTTTATTTGTGATGTGACTAATTTTCATAAATGTTATTTCTAAATATATGAGAATTCATCATAATGTCATTTCCCCCCTTTTATTAATCATTGTATTCTCTTTTTAACAGATGAAGAAAAGTAGGAAGAGTTTATTCATTTAATTTTCAGAATTATGCAGAAAAGTTTGAAAGTCTTCAAAATATAGTTGTAGCAAGAGAGATAAATGGTATGTTCTACCATAGGTACAATTTTAGTATAATTAGTTGACAGGTTTAATAACCCAACATAATTGACTTTCATCTCATCTGAAAAAATCTTTCCATTTTACTCATTTCTCAATCTTTTCCTAACTTAATAACAGTTTTATAGATGTCTTAATCATTATCGAATTAGACTTTAAAGACAAGATTGGTCAGTTTTTGCTAGACTTATTGATAATTTCAACAGAAACTAGTCAGATGGACCCATATTTAACACCTTTGGACTAATTTTTGTTAACGACAACATTTTTCTCATAAATTTATATTTAAAAAAATTCAGTCAAACTCTCCCAATTTGTCACTGCAAATCACACTATTAACAATATATTTTTCCTATGTAAGACTTGTATTAGTTTCCTTCCAAGTGTATTTAAACTTGAACCTTTTTACTTTTCTGATTTCTTAATATATATGAATTCAGTCCTCTCTACTAGCTTCTTCACCTCCTATCTAAGAATTAAACTTGTTAAATTATCCAATGAGATGAAATCTGATTATAAAATTCCTCTTCAAACTATTAATCTGACTGTTTGACTATAAATCTGATGTTCCAGTCTTGAGTAAACCAACAGAATTAACATCAAAACCTTCCAAGAAATATTAAACTACATTTGTGAAGCTACCAAAATAGATGATTGTGATCCCTCTACAATTAATGTATATTCTCTTTATTCAAAAATACTTTAAAGAATATTGCCAAATTTTGATGACTTCACTGCTGGACTTTCTATTTAAATTCTTTTGAACAAGGGAGTTTCGTGGTTTGTTTATTAGCTTGTAAATTGTTCTATTCTGGAAAAAGAATTTATCTTTATACCTTGAAACTACAGTAGAATATTAATTGAATGATTTTTAATTAAGCTCTTTATCCAGTATGATTTTACTTTATTTATGTAGTTTTTATTAATTTATCCAATGTTAGAAATGATCTCAATTTACAAACAATACCAAAAGTAACTCTGATTTCAACTGTTAAACAGCTCATAATTTGCATATTTAAATATTTTTCATGATTTTGTAAGTTATTTCTTTCAAAGTAGAAATCTTTATCTGATAAGAATCTGGCATGAATAATTAAAGTTTGAGCACTGTCTATTGGTGTTAATAAGGTTTTGTGTTTTATTCCTCAAAGCCTTATTAATGCCAATAGACAGTGTTCATAAACTTTTATCTTCTGCAGAAAAATTAATTTTCTTAATTCTTGGGACTGATTTCTTGCTGGTTTTCTTTTTTTTTCCAGAAAAAATCTGTTAACTTATAAGTCAATTTTCTTCAATTAGAATTAATAGAAGGTCTACATAAGACAGAATTAAATTAAGATATATTATAATTCATCCTTTCATTTAGTTTTAACTATAATGTTTCATGTTTAATTTATAGATCCTCTCCTATATATAATTCCATCACTTTAATTAATAATCACATCTGAAATTTATTTTTATTCTTTTCACATTTCAATTAATACTTGTCTTAAAATATCATCATTGACTCTATTTAAACATGAACTGCTGAAAGATTTTTAACTTAAAGCAGATCTGGAGAGGAAATTTTTAAAGTTTATAACTGTTTCTAAAATCAAATGCATGTTTCAACTGGCTTTTCACAATCATTAGTGGTTCAATTTATCAAAGATTTTTATAATATTGTTTCCCACTTAAAGAATGAGATAACCACTGTATCAGTGTTGAATGATTTTTATTACTTATATCATCACAAGCACTTCGTAAAAATCACTGCATGTTCGTCATGCCAAAAATATTATCCACTTAAACTTTGTTTAAACCCATGTACATCAAAAATGTTATAAAAATAAACTTTAAATATTTTTAAAAAATATAGACAAAAAACAAACCTAAAATCAAGTTAAGATGGTTCACTGGTTAAGGCTTTACTTTCATAACTCACTATACACGTTAATTTAAACTAACATTTAGTGAAAATTTTTATTTTGTAATGCATATTAGGCTTGTTTAGCCTATAGCTATACACAACTGTAGTCTAAATGAATTTCCTGTTCTTGTACTTTGCACCTTTTGCAAGTCTTCAGAAGTCTTAATTCAATTGGCTTCTGGTAACATAAGAGATACTGTATGAAGCTAAATCAATTTAATACTTGTCTGACATTTGTTTGCAACTAATATTTCATAGTGGTCAACAGCCAGACCAATAAATTCAGGTGTTGCCTTGTGTTCGTGCATTCGTCGGCAATTGTCAAGGTGGCAATTATCAGTTCCTCTACTATTCTTTGCCTCAGGAACTATAAGTTTTGTTTCCTACCATTTGGGTGTGATATGTCTATCTGTGAGAATTTATTATTTTTTTTCCGGGTCATTCTCGTGTTTATCAATTCTAGGTATGATATTTACTGCTGGTATACTGTACCGTTTGACTGTCTGGATCTTGGCTTTGGCTATCAGAACTTTACCCTGCTTCTCTGGTATTGACAATCTGTCTTCTCATTGTTTACCTTTTGTCCATGATTTAGTTGTCTTAAATTGATAACTTTGTCCTGACTTCAAACAACAAGCAGGTAATTTGATGGTCTTATTTATAATATCCAAATTATAAATAAATTTATCAAAATATCGAAAGTTCTGGACTATTCCTCCAATATACTCAAGCTCTTTGACTCTTTGATTAGTTACTTTGTATTTGTTGTCCAAGAAATATTTCAGAAGCAACTTAGTGCATTAAAAACAAACTTGTGTGTATGCCTTTCTAAAAAAATTTTTTAATTGTCTAAGGAATAGAATGCTTGTTTACAATAATCATAAATAGCATGTACCAGTACATAAATAAACTTAAAAAGGTTTAAGTATTTAAATGTTTTGGTTGTAAATTTTAGAATTTTTGCTCAAATTCTTCTGAGATGTTTAAATAATTTTGAACCAGTAACTGTTGTGGAATGCTAGTTGGAACATATTTGATTTTACATAGGTGTACAGTAAGACCTCGTTTAGCACTTCTTTGATTAACACTGATTTGATATAATGTGATCTGTTCATTGTTCATATAGACTATAATACAATTATTCCTGGACATGAACCAATCAGCAAAAGGTGGCAATTCATCTTAGCGCTGTACTTCACCTAAATCTGTTTGTTTGGCGCAATTTTGGAAAAAGTATATCATCGCGGATGCCATAGGCAATATTGTCTTCGCTTGGCAAGGATTAACTGATAATGCATGAACAGAGTGTGGAAGAAGGTATGGCTGGAGGTATCTAAGGATTATCAATGAGAAGAGCCTATCATTGACCAAATTGTCAACCTAATTGATACAGCAGGACTAGTAGATTTAGTTGAGCAGGATATTGTGCAGTTACTGCAAGTTTCTGGTGATGATATTCAAGAACTGGTAGAACTAGAAAATAGTGATTCTGAAAACAAAGAACTGGCTACAATTTCCTTAGTAAAAGTTTGGTAATGATGACCAAAATCGTTATTCAAATTGTAGCATATAATCCAGATTTTGAAAGGAGTGTAAAAGCAAGATGAGGTATTTTGGATGCAATCTCCTGCTACCGAGATTTGTTTAATGAAAGAAAAAGAAAGTGACAAATGATACTAGATGAATTCATTGCAAAAAATCAAGAATTTCAGAAGAACCAGGACCTTCATTACAAAAATAAACTTTATATTTCTGTGTGCATATGTTTGTGTTATGTAACACATATTCTTATGCAAATTAATATATAAATACACAAATTTTACTTTAATTTCCCTATTTTCTGTGTGTTAAAATGACCTTGTCTAATGCTGTTTCATTTAGCAATTTGTTGTCTAGGAACACATCCTAAGCACTAAACGAGGTCTTAGTGTATCAAATGAAACCTTAAAAATGCAATAAAATTCCAAAAAGTAGTATGATTGGTGAGGTTCACAAAATGACCAACACAGAGGATGGCAGCACCATCAGTAACAAGATGGCTGCCTCACTATAAGAATGTACTGTGTTTTTTGAATAGCAAAGTTGTCAAACCTATTGAAATTCATTGCATGATGACAGTGCATTGCGGTGATTCCTATTTGTCCCTGCAGAAAGTTTCGAAGCGGCATAACTTCTGTGGAGGATGCCCCATGATGGACAAAAACATTGTGTTAGTGAAAGAGCTTGTAAAGCAAAACAGGCATATATGTCTGAATGAAATAGCCTCAATTTTGGAATTAGTTTTGGTTCAGTGCAGAATATTGTTCATAATGTGCTGCAATTCAATGAAGTGTCTGCAAGGTCAGTTGACTGCTGAATTGAAAGATTGCATCAATGCCTGTGAAGAACTTTACATCGTTTCCACATTGAAAGTGGTGCATTTCTGGACAAAACAAACCCAGGTATCATCACCTGTAAAAATTATCATCAACCAGAAATGAAAAGATCAAGGAAGAATGGCACCATAGCACATTGCCAAAACCAAAAAAATTCTGCACTCAACCACCAGCAGGAAAAGTCGTGCTCACTCTTTTCTGGGATGCAAAGGGAGTAATTCTGGAACATTACATGATTAGGAGTGACAGTAACCAGTTCTTCTTATGCAAATCTACTGAAAAACCAACTTCAATCAGGACTAAGCGACAAGGACTTCTGACTTCAGGTTATCGTTATAGCATGACAACACCTGACTGCATACAGACTGTTTGAATCAAATTTGAATGTCTCATATACCCACCTTATTCACTAGACCTTTCCCCTAGTGACTTTCATATGTTCAGACTGCTTAAAGAAGCGATGGGAGGCAAGCATTTCAGAAGTGATGAAGAGGTGAAAATGGTGGTGCACAAGTGGCTACAGTCATGACCAAAAGATTTCTTTAAACATACCATGTCAAAAAATTATATTCTCTTCCTTGATTTGAAACTCTCCCTTCTCTGACTTTAAACATTAGGTTTAGATTTTATTCTTTTATATATCTTTTCTTATTTACTTTTGTTTTAAGGTGGTCGTCTCTTCTTTGCAGTGGATCCAGATTGGGTTCTATTCTCATCAATATCGAACAAACCTTCAAGACTATTGATATTCTTTCATTCTATTTTGAGTCAAGTTTTACTTTTTTTCTAAATTTTTGACCCATCTAGGGCCATTTTCAGTTTACATGTGCTGTTTGTTTTTGGTGTGCTAAGACAATTGGACTTGAACATAAATATATAAAAAATAAGAAAATAATGGCTTTTGATAACCATATTCATGTGAAGTTCAAAAGTGTCTAAATTTTGAACATTACACTTAAAAGAATCAAATGCACATTTTTACATTGTCCATTCTATTTGTTTTTTGATGTACTAAAGTTGGCTCTAGATGGACTGAAAATCTGAATTTTAAAAAATTTAGATTTGGTTTACTTAAACATGCATCATTATATTTTTACTTACTTGTTTCTTAAATCTTCACTCTCCTCTAGTAATCTTAAAGAATCTTGATTACTCCTCTCTCGAACAGAGTGCATCGAAAGAGAACTCAATAAGCTATCTTTAGATGAAGTCGAACACTGAGATAAGAGAGACCATAAATTAGGGATAGTATGCTGATGCATTCCAAACATCAGATAATTAGCATAAGACTGATCCATATATGAATTGTTTGCACTTGTCATAGGTTCTGCTTGTGGATGAAAACTGTTTTGCTGTGAAAATGAAGCCAGACTAGTTTGACTATGCCTTTCGGTTACTCTCTGGTTGGATGACGATTGAGGCATTGTCATTTTCAACTTATCTATCTAGAAAGAATAATGATTTTTTATGATAAAAGTTTATTGTTTTTATTACACAATCCATAATTTACTTACAGTATATTCTAGAATTGTCCATAAGTCATTTTGTCTCATTAGTTGAGCTGTTTGCACTTCTTTAGAAAATTCTTGAATTTCAAGAGCTAAACTTTCTAATTTTGGTTGTAATTCAATTATGTCTTTTTTCATTTGTTTTAGGTTCCTAAAAGGTTTAAAAAAGAAATATTACTATGAATTCTTTGTAATTTTGAATAACATTGCATTAAGATTTTATTCTTTATAAACTAAACAAGGAACAAGCATTACATCAACAATAGATACCAACTCTTGTAATTTGTTCTTTTTAACATTTGGATGTCTTCATATGCAAATCTATATAAGCAAATGTCACATGGGCAGAACCCTTTTCTCTTTAGGCCAGGGGATTGGCAGAAATACACAGCTTTTCCTCAACTATACAGAAATTAGCCAGAAAAAAGTTTGTGAAACCATGCCTGAATGGTGGGGAACAAATTTTCCTCCTCAGTTTACAGATAATGGCTTTTGTTTTAAAGGTGGCCTTTCCTTCTTTGCAGTGGACCCGCACCCTTCTGGAATGGCAAGTTATGATCATGTTCCAACCATATCGTGCACAAATAATCACACAAATCTAATATCCTTTTATCAACTGCACAATTCGAGCCTGGAAATAATAGAGATAAATCACCTTTCCCTACAATCACAACAAAATATATAACCTTCCATGTTTTGAAACCATGTTGTATCTTTGTTTGTTTTATAAATGCAATGTAGTGTAATAACGATCACTTGGCACTATTCATCAACGAATGATGAATAGTGCCAAGTGATCATTATTACGTTACATTGCATTTATAAAACAAAAATATACAGCCTTAATCAGTTCTAGTAAGGAGTAAGAACAATCAGAAAATAATTTGCAAGAACAATGCACAAAATTTTATCTTTTTTCATATTAGCATTTGTTAGAATTAGGGGACATTCTAACGTGAGAGATGAACAATCTGTGCAATTAGTTGATGTTAATGAATTAAAATTTGAAAATTTATTCCCCCTGTACATTATAGTTAAAAAAACGAGAAGCATGCACAACTTACAGAAGATAGCAAAGCCATTGTCATACTAATGGGTAAATCATTTCTCCTGAGTCTGGCAAACTATCCAGGGCAGAGACAGGCTTTGTTTCTCTGGCTCGTTTGAAATTAATTGTTAAATCCTTGGAGATGGAAACAGTGAATAGAGGTGTAGCAAAATTGGAAGTTTCAAGTTAAAATATTACTAGGAAGTTGTAACTGGAATGCATGAAAAGCCAAAGCCCCTTGGTAATAATGTTGGTACAGCAAACAGAGAAAAGTATGAGAAAATTGTTGATCTGGACTAGAGCAAACTGCCAAATTAGTAATAGGCTGTACAGTGACAGGAGAAACACTTCCAGTAATACATAATTGTAAGACATCAAATGAAGTGTGAACAAACTACTTATTATGTATTCTCATACATAATAAGTAGTTTGTTCACACTTATTATTAAAAGGTCATATCTGTCAAAGGAAATTGCACTGAACGAATATTACTTGTTCAAATATGAGGATAAAGAATCAATGACATCAATGTTTTCAAGATTAGAAGGAATAAGAGAGAAACTGAGAATCTTCGATAAAAGTGATGATGATGATTCAGTTGTATGCAAAATAATCATTATACTTCCCCCAGAATATAAACATTTTGTAACAGCGTGGGAATCCGTGGATGAAAACAAAAGAAATCTTGAGATACTGATGGCAAGAATAAAACTTGAGTCTAGACTTAAACAGAGAGAGATTAAGAAAGATGCTGGACAGGTTAAGGCTTTGCATTGTAACAGCAGATACAGTAAAAGGAAAACTCAAAATGGAACAGAGAAAAAAAAAAAACAACTTTTGTGTCCTGTCTTGTTGCATCCAAAACTATAAGCAAAAGCAAAGTTTTACTATCTGCAGAATCTGTGGAAAGAAAGGACACATTCTTTCCTACCCACCATATGGTAGTAATATGACAATCCATACATCTTGTTTGGATTGCATTTGATTTCTTTCGATAACCATGCTTCAGTTTCTTCTTTGTTACACTAATGTTAACTCCTTTTTCATTTTACACTTTTTGGCAATGGTTCAAAGAATACAGACAATACACCTCTCCTGTAGTGATAAAAGCAGAAAATGATTCAGAGATGCTGGCTATTGGAGAAGGTTCCATAGCTGTAAAATTTTCTCTCAGCAGATGTGATAGAGTAAATTTTTTCCACACTTGGGTACATGAAGAACTCTTATCAACTCTACACTTTTATATGCACAACATTAGTTGAGAAATGTCATGAGTCTGATAATGAAGAATGTTTTCTAAAATGTAACAGGCAAATTGTAGCCAAAGTTGGAAGACTGTACTACATATTTATGACAATAGTAACCCAAGAGGGAGAAGTACATATAGTGAATGCCATTGACCCCTTAAAACTTGGCATGAAAGACTAATATTATAAAGAAGTAAAGTCTGTAAGTTTGGATATAGAAGGTAATCTGTGAAACTACTCATCCGATTTCAAAAATTCTTTCACCAATGTTTAGAATGGACCTTCAGGGTGGACATAGGCTGTATATTATTCTGTTAAACATTCATATAAATTAAAAGATATCATCTAGGTAAGCATTATATTTCTGATGTCAGTGGGTGGTGAGGGGCAAGACGTATATGTTTATGAGGTAGGTTACCGCACAGCGCAGCCGTGTCGTTGGCGAGATATGCAGTACATGTGTCTGAACTTGTATTATAAAGTTGACACGGGGAACATATGCACATAAGTTCACTTTATTCAAACTCTTAGTCTTAATGCATGATTTTATATTTAAGAATAATTCGAGAACATCCAACTTATTTTTCAAATTTAATAAACTAGAAGAACCTAGAAGGGGTTATGAAAATATTTATCATTTACAAGGGAACTGTCGGAGCGTCTTCTAATAAATTTTAATAAAATTTAGTTAATAATTACATTAAAAGTATACAAACTCTATATTAAATTTGTAGTATTCACTAAAAGTGTTAATCAGAGTTATTAGCAATCAAATGTTGTACTATTTTATAGTAATTTAACACAAATATGCAAATTTTTAGTAGTGAAAGGGTCGCGGAGGAAGACGGCAAACTAACCAAATTGAATAAATTGAACATATTTTTCATTCCTACTGTGGGGGAATGGAATGAAAACTAGTAAATACAATGCAATTGCTTTCTTCTCACCTATGTCTACAGCATAATTTCAGATTTACACACATTTTATTAATTTTAGAACTTTTTATACAATAAAGTTAATTATCATCAAAGTGGATGCTTCCTTCTTAGTACATAAATCATATGTTGTCCTTAAATACCATGTTGGACAAAACAGTGTGGTCTAATAAGAAGTCAACTCCCATGTTTGGAATCCTTACTTTCAAAACAGATTGGGGCCTGAATATAAGTTGACCTTTTATTAATCATTGAAAAGTCTGCAGTATTGTCATTTCTGTTTTCTATTTTATTGCATTATTCTCTGTTATGACCAAATTGTTGGTAAAACATTTCTCAAAACCCTTTACAATTGTCTTCATCAACAATCTTTCATAATTCTAATGTTCTAATTTTTAAATTTCATAGATAAGAAAATATAATTGAATATAACTTTCTAAGTAATTTTGAAAAGAAAGAAATAGAATTGATTCCCAAATATTTGTAAATACAATTAGTATAAATCTTTGAGTTGTTGACTTTTTTCCTGTTTATAAAATTTACAAATTGCATTTAAATCATACCTACATGATCAGAAAATTGTACTCAAAGGGTTTTTGCTTTATGGAAAAAAATATATGCATTGGGCACCTATAATGTGAGTGATAAAATGCAACTTATTGCTTCTTTTTTTGTCAATATCAATAAAAGAGAGGGCATTGTCTCAGTTTTGTTCTATATGTGCCTTTTAGGACTGCCAGGCATATAGGCTTTGTTGTATGTGTATGTATAATTAAATTTATATGGCTTGATACATATTTCATGGGTATTCCAGAAAGTGTACTTATGGTTTTATAATCTAAAATGAAACCTAAACTTTGTTTACTCGTGTCTTAAGAGTTATAAAAAATTCCTCAATTCTTTTTATAACATATACTCATATCAAATACATAGTTTATTCTGTTATAATCCTAAAGTTCTGTGGTAAATCTTTAATAATCTTTCAACATGCTTTTATAATCACTCAATTATTAGAAGTTTCTAAGAATAAAATAATAAAATTCCCATAGAGGTTGCAAAAACCGAATACAATAAAAACAGCTTATTATTAGCAACTGCAGCATGTCAGGTCAAAACTCGACTGGTGTTTAGCATAGATGAACAATCAAACTGACACTAAAATTTAATGCTGATTAACACTGTACCACTAACAATTATCTAAACCAAAGAAAAACATTTGACCTGTGAATCTATTACAAAGTTTTTATTTTTTGCTCCCTTTAAAACTAGGAAAAAATTTCAACTAATATTCTAACCAGTAAAGATGACAATTTACTATGGCTTTCTGGCCACATAATATCCAAATTCATACTGTTCTTGATGTTTCCCATTCCTTACTCATGTTGGCAAATCTAATTGTATCTTAGGAGTGGACTTGAATTACAAAGTTGCAACTGTCTATATAACCAAACTGTGCTGGTGCAATTCTTTGATTTGTCAACACATGCATCTTATTTAACAATAGTCAATCATATACTAGTAAATGATTACACAGCGAGTTAATTAAAAACTTAAATTTGTCACAGTAAAATACACAATACATAAAATATTCATTCATACTTACACCAAGGAACTGAATATATCTCCCAGTACTTTATCTTTTTGTTGAATGTAAGAACAGACTAGTTGTACCATTTCTACATTATCGGACGGAATATTTCTTTGTTCTGTAATATAAAGTGGCACTATTAGAAACTAAATACCGATGTGAGAATCCATCCTCGTTAATCTTACGTTTTAATAAAATATATATAATTTGATAGAGGGGGAAGTAAAAAGTACAGTTGTCATTTTATCTGTCAGGTACTTGTGAGAAATATGATTATATGAATTACATTAAAACATTTTATAGAAATATAGCACTTTTGGTGATATTTTAGCCAGACTGGAAATGTTGAGGAGTTGATTCCTGTCATACCATGTATTGATTCTGCATAAGGTTTAAATGTAAAGGAAAGTACAAAATGTTTAAGACAAATTTAATTGTTTACAATGAACACACGAAACAAAGACATTTGTTTTGTAAATGTAAAATTTAACTTGATAACATCTGAAAAACTCTTAATTTTCTCTTCTGTCACATATCCTCACTTCTGCCATGCATGTATTAACACATACAGTAGAGCGTCGATTATCTGAAAGAATTCCAGTTGGCAAATTTAAATTTTCGCCAGTGCTGTGGTGCTGCAATCTTTGGCTATGTCTTGGGCTACTCAAATATTTTACGTTTTTGATACTAAATTAACTTCTGAAGTATTGTTTTTATATTTCTCAATATATTATTTTTTTATTTTGTACAAACAAAATAAATAAATTTTTAATGATACAATAGTCTTCATTAGGCTTAACATCGACAAAAATTCAACGCGAAACGATACACAACGGAGAAAAATTTCAACATGGGATAAATTAATATATTTTTTTGTACATAATCGGTTATCTGAAATATCGATTTTCTGAACAGTCCCCAATTGATTCGGATAATCGACGCTTTACTGTATTTAAAAATAAGAGCACATACAGTAGAATCTCATTTTAACATTGTTATTCCAGGAAATCTGTTGTTCTGCAAACTGATGTAGCAGGACTGGGGGAAAAAAATATAATTTTTCCCGCTTTTAGCAGATCCATAATTCAGAATAACTGATATTTTTTCTAGCCCCACCTATTTGAAAAATGAGAGAGCAAGGAGCTAATTGTAATAATAATAATAATTAAGTGTTTCAAGATACTAAATTAAAAATAAATTGCAAATGGAACAATATAGGTGCATAATTGTCACGGTTTACATTGCTAATGTTGCAGCTGCATATCACGCCCTCCTGTAGTGCATTGATTAGTGACAGGAAGCTACTTCTGACCCAAGTGTAGTGCCAAAATTTAGCAAGGCCATCAAGTCTTCCAAGTCATAAAGACCTTTGAAGAGTTTTAGCATAAACAAACAGGATATTGTCATGATTTAAGAAAATGCCCAGAATGTTATATTCCCTTAAATTCTGACAATTAATATATTTGTCATCTGCCAGAATTCCATTTTAGAACTTTCTACTGGAGAATTACTGATGGAAACTTTAAAACATTTTCAGCTTTTTTTATAACAGAAATAAGTAATGAAAGGCATTATTAAATAATAAGTTCTGCAAAAAAAGTAAGATTCAAAATGTATTCTGTTTGTAAAATGTATTTACACAATCAAATCTACAAATAATGAATAAGACAAACACAAAATTCAATTGAGTTCACTATTATTAGTGGTAAAATACCATTTATTGGACTGGAATGATATAGTAAAGACTTAAATTATTTTCCAGTAATAGTTAATTTGAACTTACTTGGAACTGAAAATATACAAATTACTTATTTACAAGAAAGATTGGAAAGGAAACTTACACACAAATATGAAAAAAGTTGAATTGAATCTTCAAAAAAAAAAAAAAAAAAAAAAAAGCAGAAACAATATGGTACAACTCTGCCAACAATTTGCAGGTACAATATCTCCCCACCATCTGGAAAGGACCCATGTATGCAGCTAAACCACAGGATTGTCATCCTGAAGGGATAGTACCATAGAAAAACTCATTTCTAGTATGAAAGAACACCACAAAGAACTCTTTAATTGATTTCATTCTGAAGGTTGCCTTCCATCTAAAGATCATAAAGATGAAGATACATGGCAAAAACTAAGAAAAAGCAAAAAATAGTTTAAGAACAACAGCATCATCCTATTAAAAGCCAATAAAAGTGGATCAACTGTACTCGTGAGAGAACAACATTACAAACCCCTCTTGAACCAGTATCTTATTGATACATGTTGAGCCTGTCAAGGAAGGGTATGTTGACAAACTTCATGCGCTTTGTCACTAATTTACCCGCACCACTTTAATAAAAAATTAAAATTGAGCAAGGCAGTAATCCCTTTCCAACATATTTAAACTTTTCGCCTATGCGAAAACACATGCACCGAGCAACACTGTATGACCCATAGAAGGCCAAATCACCTATTCACCCCTTAGAAAATGCCATGCATATCATTCTTAAAAAACACTTAAAAACTTACAATTTCACCATCAATAACACAAAGCAATGAAGGTTTAATTATCGAGTTAAGAAATCATGTAGTAATGTAAATATTACAATGCTGGATTTTACCGCCCTTTACTCTTCAATTAACTTCTAACTATGCTTTTGTACTCTGAGAGATCTCTTATTACACAAGCACAAAGACATCCTAGAGCTAGCCCATATGCTATGTTATTCATCATTCTTTCAGTATAATTATAACACATTTGTTCAACGTAAAGGAGTACCCCATGGGCTACTCCCTATCAGGTGACCTTTGTGAGATGGTAATAAAATTATTAAGAAATTAGGTAGTATAATTTTTTCTATCAAAAATACACATTTGCAAAAGATATGTGGATGATAGATAGTATTATTATTGTTCATTTGTTGTATGAAGTTATTAGTCCCTATGGTCTTACTATAAAATTAGACCAAGCCAGCAGCACAGAAGTACATTTCCTAGATCTCAAAATCAACATAAAAAATAACTGGGTCCTTACAAAAGTTTACTATAAACTGACCTAAACACCCTTATATATATATAAAAGATTGCAGCCTTTATGACCTTAACCAAATGGGCTTTTACCCACTGTACAAATTATTCTGATACAATCAAAGAACAATGCACGGTTACCCCGAAAAACTTAAGAATTTAACCAGTACAATCCCCCAACAATACTCACAACTTAGACCCTAAAAATAAAAACAGATTAATCAAACAGAAGCACAAGCCGTATCATTCTAGAATATACCACAATATGCTATCACTGTATAAAGAAATAACAAACCTAAAAGAAACAAAATTAACTTGCAGACACAATCCTACCATCTTTATACCCCTGGTACCCTAAGATTATTATAGTCTTATCTTTTCTGTTCTTAAGGATGTTAAAGTTTCTTTGAAATATGGCAGATTTGTCTACAAACTTGAATATATTGCACGATTTTCCTTCTAATCTTTTTCAGAGCTCTTTCAAAAAGTGTTCCATCGAATTTTTTCTTTCATTTGTCCATTTCTCACCTGAAGAAGAACCTTAGGTTTGAAAATGTTAATGGCAACTTTGTGTTTGAGAAAATGCACTGTTATTGGTTTTTTGGATGTAAGTTTTTTGAATATATTGGTTCCACTACAAGGTCACTCAAAATAAGACTAACCAAACACAAACCAATATTGACAAAAAGAAACTACACACTGCCCTGGCCATATACACAACAGAGGTGTAAGCCTTCCTCGACAAGGCCATCATCATTAAAAGATCAAAACATGACCACTCCATCAAGTTACTGGAGGCATTAGAAATTTTTAAATCTGAAAAAAAGGAACATTGCATAAATTTTAAAGAGGAAAAAACAACTATCATAGGCATGGCAATCCTTATACGACCACATGATGTAACATGACTTAGGGATAATGAAAGTTCTTGGTTTTGTTATACAGTCTTTAAATGTTAAAATTAACTGTATACTTTCTATTTTATATATTCTGATATATCTCTAATCACATTTTATAATTTTTCAAAAAAACATTGCTTTGATTTAAGCATTCTATCAACAAATATAGAATAAAGACCTGAAGATCAAAAACATTAATTCAAAACAGTTTTTTTAACTAACTAACTGGAAAATAATTTAAGATTTTAGAGCAGTGGTTCCCAACATGGTCACTACTGCCCCCATGGACAGTGAGTAAATCTAGGGCAGGAAAAAAGTTAGTGAATACTTCACTCTAACGCAGTGATTCCCTATTATTAGTTTTTTAAGATAGAGAATAATAAAATATTTAGTTTGCTTGCTTTTAAATAAATATTACTTTAAATATTTGTTGTAATGCATGCCATACATTTCTGTAAACAATATTAGTTTTACATATAATTTTTTATATACAGTATTTATATAATTAAAGCCTACATGCAAGGTTATACAGTACCATAGTGTACAGAAAAGAAAATATACACAAGTATATTACACTAATCTTTCAAATATCGTAACATCCACCAGAAAAATACGGAATAAAATTTTATTATAAAACATTAATTCTAACTCCTGTATTCACCAACACAATTTAGAGTTAAAAGTTAACCAAACTGTGATTGGTTAACTTTTAACTCGTGTCGGTAAATATGGGGGTAAAAAAAGTTAAAGGAGATTGTTGAATATTAGTTATTGGATGAAGGAGATGATATGGTGACAGGGCTAACCATATCTGCTTCCAGACTGGGGATGTTACAAGGTGCGAACTGCTCAAATTCAAATTCTAACAGTTTTCATGCTTCCGCTTCATTTGGATCAGCCATCATGTGTGTGAAATAGTGTAGTTGAAACATCGTAAGTCAAGAAGCATCTGTAGTTATTCATTGCTGAAGTCTCATAGAACCCAGCCAATATATTTCCAGAAAAATCCAAATATTTTGTTTTCTTTTTACTGTATTATGTACTTCAAGTAGAAGTGTTTTTTTTCATAGAAAAACAATTTTTATTTAGCTTACCTTGTGTTTTTCTCTTCAGACGATGATAGGCATCTAAAATCTTTTGATATCTGGAGAAGAGATTATCACATATAAATATTCAGTTACATTAATTAAGAAATAACAAATTAAGTTTATTACTTACATATCTTCCAAATGTTTTGGCAATACTAAATGATTATATGGATTCTTTTGAAACTCCACTGTTTTTATTTTAGCATTTGCAGAATTTATCTCCAAATGTGCAATTTTTCTAAGCTTCAAAAAAATAAAACTATATCTTAACTGTAATATCAATTAATTAGATTTTATTATTTACATTGTCATAATATAAGCTCATTATTTCATAAGAATTACAGAATAAGACTAGAATGAGTCTTGTTTGAGAACTAAATTTTGAATTTAAATGCATTTCAACTTTTAACTATACTATATTCATTTTCAGTTCAATGCTTTTAACCAGATTATGCTCATTTTTCTTATTACATTCATTTTCATTAAGAATCTTTATGTTCCTAAGCAATTCCATAATTGAAAATCAGAAAAATTAAAATGTTTGTAGAATAAAATGGTAAATTCTAAATACTTACAAGATTTTCAAATTTTTCTATAAGATCAAAACTCTTCTTCCATTTATCATGCATTTTATTAGAAGCTAAAAGTATTAAGGACATTTTAAAATTATTTTTGAAGGAACTTTTTACCTCTGTAGTAATAATAATGAAACTTACTTATGCCATTATTTCTTGCTTGTTCTTCATACTTTTTTAAATCTTTTTCTAAACTAAAAATAAGAAATTGAAATTTTTTTTTAACTTTCAATAAATAAATGCACAAAGCAACTATCTGAACTACTCTGCTGCCGTCTTATTCTAATGATGTTTGTCTTTGTACATCTTTACTTATTGCTCATTTGTGAAACAAGTGAAAAAAACTGCATTCATTAAGTAAAAATAAATCATTTTTCATATTTGTTTCACTAGTAAGTCTGCAATTTGTACAATTTTTTAATGTCACAAATGCTTTGCACAACTTATAAATATACTCAATATTCTTGCCATAATTTTATTAAAAATATATCAAGTACCCAAATAACTGATTTTAAAATGATAAACAGTTTTGTACTCTCAACATTCAACTGTCTGATATATTTCATCAGAAATATATCACAAACAGCTTTGTATACATAGTAGTATGAAAAGTTTGCAGACTTGGAATTTAGTTCCTTACCTTGAATAGTTTATAACACCAATGCACAACCATTTTCAAATCCCCTTGGATAACGATATACTTTTTCCAGTGCTTGTACAACTTCTGAAAGCTTTGCTGTAAGCCATCTTTTACAACCATCCATAATACTGCCTATGATGCTGCAATGCTAGTATTTGATGACTCAAAATGATTTCAGGCTGTTTATGACAGATGGATTCATCTAAATGCCACTTGGAAAACCCGAAATTTGTCTGTTTGCCTGAGTCCATCTGTCATAAACAGCTTTTGTAAAACTCTGCTCTAATATTAACAAATAGTAGTTAAATTTTAACATACAAAACACATAACACAAGAGTTTGGTTCTTGAACATTTATTTGTTTTCCTGGCTGTTATTTATACAACATGGGGAAAGTATTGGAATCATGTGAAATTTGACACTCTGGATTTTTTGAAACTCCTGAACCCAAAAAAGTTAGATGCTAATGCACATGTATGTGTGCAGTAATTTTTATTTCATTTAATCTTTCAGGATGGGGTAAAGATTAAGATAGAAAATTTGGCATTGTAACTTGTATTCAAGGTGCATTGATTCTACTAAATTTTAGTGGTTGAAGGTCAAGAAGATGAGGGATAGAGGGGATTGGACTTAATTAAAATTTTACTTGTTATCATTTACAACTTTAATTAATAATTTTGAGGATGGAGATAAAGATGAAAATTAAAGCTTTTATTATTTCTTAATAAAATCTCGTAACCAATAGTATTGCAGACAATTTTAACTTTATATTTATGCTAATGTGTTTTAGTATTAAATATTTTTCACCAGGAAAGTTATGTAATTCATCATATTTTTAAAAATTGTGACGGTGCACCTGTACTGTATTGGAAATACTAGCAGATTCACAAGAAAAATTTGAATAATAAGATCACAAATTGTCATTAAGAAAGTTAACACAAATTGCAAAAAAAAATTTTTGGAAATTATTTTTGTTGTGATTGAGTTTATATTCTTTAGTTTAATTAATTCTACATAATAATACAGTCGACCCCCCCTATAAGATCGTTGATTTTTCCGTTTTATCTGAATTACATGTTGTATGAGTCACTTAGATTTTACAAATACGTGTGCCGGGCTGTGAACGGCTCACATATTTGTAAAATCTAAGTGACTTGTACAACATGTAATTCAGATAAAATGGAAAAATCAACGATCTTATAGGGGGGTCGACTGTAATAATAATTTATTTAAATACAAACTTACCTAATCTTAAAAAATTCGACCTTAGCAGACAGGCAATTTTTCTCAATTGCTATTTTCGACATTGCTTTGTACGTAACCGAATTAATCGACACGATATGCTCTCTATATAAATCAATTGGTTATATTCAATAATTATAATCTTTGTGTTTTATTTGCATTTACTATTACTCACACATTTATTTTATAGGCTTGTAGCAATTTCTGACAAACTGTTCTTTCGTTGTGACATAAATATAAGGCCTGAGTCCAAGCGGATTTTTGGAGCTCGTAATCCATGGTCAATCTGGGACTACGAGTCATTCTGGCCACCAGAGGCGGAATGCATAGTTTAGTTCCACTAAATTCGTTGAAATTACATTTTTTAGATAAAAACACAATCGATTCGCCTTCTTCCTAAAAACAAAGTTAAACTTTTAATCTAAAACTATCAATTTGAAAAAAACACACAAATATTTAGTAGTAAAAATTCTATTAAATTATTTATGAAAAAGATCAGATCATATCTCTAATTTGAAATCTTATTCAAACATGTAATAAAGATCACTTTAAAAACATTTTACTTTCTAATGTTATTGGCTTGCTTACTTCATATTTAAGCTTCTTAACGTCGCAGATAATCTGTATTAAGTGACACCTCAATTAAACAGATATATTAAACTGAATCTGGCAAGAATTATTTCCGTTATAATATGTAGTTATACCATGTATGACATTACCTGTTTAGCTGTTGTGTAAATAATAATCAAACTGGTTGGAATAAATTTTAAATGTAAACTTTAATCTGAAAACGCTATGACAATTAGGTGATATTGCAGTTACATTTGTTTTAATTTAAAGCAATGATCAAAAGTAGGAGAAAACAAATACTACAAATTTTAGGAGTAAAAGTTTTATCATTAAAATACTTCTTGGAACCTCATCAGACCCAAATGGAATATTTTTTTCTGACTAGTTTTTTGAATATTCACATTTGTTTTCTCCTGAATTAAATGGAATTGTTAATATTTTTGATCAGTTACAGAGTATAAGAGAAATACATTTCTGAACAAATATGTTGAACATTGTTTTCAGAGATAAAGATGGTTATTTGTAACCAAATTTATAGAGCAAAAGAAAGGAAAAAATTATATATTTAGTAACAGTTTTAAATAATGGAAATTAAATTTAGATTGGGAACAAAAATTTCCTGCTAAACTGATAATAAAAAGAGAAAAAAATATAAGATATTAATTTGGAATTTGATAAATTTTAATTCTTTTTAGAAATATTTTAATAAACATATCAAATACAACTTTTTTCCTGATAAAATAATTTACAAAGTTTTAATGAATTTGTTTGCCATGATAGCTTATATTAAATACATACTACCTTACAATTATTAAACTGATTAATTTATGACATGTTTAAAAAGCAAAACTCACTGGATTAGTCCAAAGTTGCACGGCATTTTTATTCGGGTCAGGAAAGGAACCATTTGGCAACAGTATTTCTTGTTCGTTCTTAGGTATGCCAGTTTCTGACTCAAACAAGACTTGAATTTCTTCTAAACTTACATTATCTTCCACTTCTAATGCAAATAATCTGCAACTTTCAGTGCAAAACACTTGAATGACCTGTAATATAAATGGCATAATTTTAAACAATTATCTATTACAGTGGTTACCAACCTTTTCTAATTGCATACCCCTTGCCAGCCTATTTTCCCAAGTTTTATTTCTTGTGTTTGTCAAATGCCTTGGTCAATTACACAGCACCGTACAATCATATGTAAAAGGATTGGAGAAAGGACAGATAATTAAAAAAATATAAGCAAATTCATCTTTATGATAATGAGAAGAAACTGTTTCATTCTTTATTATTCTTGGCTTTCAACATCTATATTAAAAAAAAAAATACACTTATGATATGCTATTGATACTCAAGAGTGAGTATCAAAGCAAGTGTCTTATATTGTTGTTTTCTCCAACATTGTGAATATGTATTTAATGTATTTGAGAAGAAAAAATGAAGTTATATAAACGAAAACCAACTCAATACACATACTGCCAAATTAATATTTGGCTATTATAAGACTAGTAAATAATTAGGCATAAATCAATTTGGCCAGAGATAGATGGTTATGCTACCATCTTCTAGTAAATTTAATAAGTAAAAATAAATTTGTATTTTTATTTTAGAATATTCTGGAAGAAAAGAATTGGCCTGGAGCAAGACTTAACCTGCAACTCTTACTTGATGTACAATTGCACTACTAATTATACTATGCTATCCTGACCCCATCTGATTTTCACTGCCAGCACTATTAATTAATTAGATATAACCATACTAGTGACTAGGGGTGAAAGCTAAAGTCATTCCCCAGTTCACACTATGTTATATTGAATTAATTAGTTAATAATTTAAAATATTTAATTGATCAAATCATTTTATTGAAGCAGTCTTCACATCAGAACATTGTCTGACTTCAGAAATTTATTAAATGTATGTGTACTTGTTTTTGATTTGTAAAGAATTGTGAGATATAAAAGACAAATAAGCTGAATTATTTCTTTGTAGTGGAAACTTCTAACTAAAAAGAGCAAAAATTCATGAATTATTTTTCTCATATGAATTTGAATTAGCTATTGCATGAAGAAAAACAAAATTTAAACATTGGAATGCAGCTAATCAAATAAGACTAATATGTTTATTACCTTCAAAGTTATAATTAATGCATTATAGATATACAAATATAACTGTTATTTGATTATAAATATGTAAATAATTCATGCTCACTGTCTGCACCCTATTATGTTGTATTCTATGTATTTATCATCCGTAAACGTTGTAAATATTTTGTTTCCCAAAGAGGCACACAATAACTAGGAATGAATTCAATTCAATTTTACTGATGTAATCCCAGCTAAGAATACTAATATGAAACTCCTGAGGTCATATCATGTTTTATGTATTGCAATATTTGTCCTTTAAGGGAAAGAATGTATCCTTGTGTGGTAAATTTTGAATACACAATATAAAGTTCAGAGGAGAACATATAAATATATACAATTCTGATACCTTAAATATATTTATTTGGAGAAATTGTTTTAATTGTGCTTTTCATTTGGATTTGTTATTGTTTTTAGCAAACTTAACCTCTTGTATTCTTTTGTTAGTCTTCGTTCGAATTTTTGTGTTTTCTGAGTTGGTCTGTTCTACACCTCTATGGACTAGATATTTCCACTTTCAAGTGCAAAGTTGTCCTCCTATATGAAAACTATTGATTTCAGAAATTCTTAGCACTGCACTTTAATGTAATTGTAAAAGTTGATTTAATGTATTCAGTCGCATCCAGGTGAAGCCAATAGAGTGTACACTTTAAAATAATGTATACAGTTTTTATTTTGCTATATTTAATGATTATTCACAGGTGGATTAAACAACAAAGAATGTGAATATGATATTCCCAAAATTTACAGGTATATCCAGAACTAGAACAGATTGAGCAAGAAATTTTTCCAGAGATGCTCTTACTTTGTATTCAGTTTGTTTTAATGAATATATTAGAAAGTTTAAAGTATAGTTTTGTTTTATTCCAGTATTGCATGATATTTTTTTAGAAATATGATATATTATCCATCATTTATTATAAAAGTGTAATATGCATAATGATCAAGTGTATGAGAGACTGTCAAATATAATCATCACAAGAACCTACATATAGAAAATACAGGGTCTTAAAGAATGCTATGAGAGAATGACTAATTCTTCTGTGCCATTCCATCAAATTTCTAAAATAGTAGTCTTTTTATTGATTTGCAAGACTGTTGCATCATTCAATGTAATGGATATATTTTATTTGTGAGGAAGATTAAAACATTTTGTATAATGTTGAAAGGCATATATAATAATTGATCTGGATTGAGAGGATTTTTAGTATTATTTTCAGGTTTCATGTATATGTTGTCTAATATAAGTTTTGTACATCATACAGACATTGATTATGCATTTTATGTTTGATTAGTTTCAGGAAAAAATTCTGTTAACTGTCTTACAATTCAATTAACTGTTTATGTTCTGTGTTAAGTTAACTTAGTGATACTGCTTATATATTTATTCCTGAAAAATGTCAGCTATTATTGAAAATAAATTTTATAAAAATTTACAACTATTAGTGAACACTTGTTCACGATAAAGCCAACAAAGAATTTCTTTTTTTTTGGTAGCATCTTTACTTCTTTGCATTAACGATATAATCAAAATAATTTCCACAAAAATAAAAAAATAAAAATTGGTCTGTTATAACCAGTTTCAGTAATATTTAAAGAAATTAATATCATTATTCACCTTTTTATTTAATATTTGGTCTAGAAGTTCGTACGTCGTCATGTCTCCCTCCCGACCTCTTCTGAAGGGATTCCAATCCAACATCAGCTTCAACCACATTTCCATATCTTTTTTGAAAATACTTTCAAATGAAATACATATATTTAGGCAAAAATTTTCAAAATCTAATATTAAAATATTAAATTTAAAATCAAGAGAATTTAAATTTGATTCCCTTCCTATGTAAAAGCAATTCTCAGATTGTCATTGTCATCCACAATCAATATATATAAATTTTAACAAAATTTTTAAATTTCTTAGAAACTTACTTTGTTATTTTTACGAAAGGAGACAATTCTTCCACAAACATGACTTTCCCCTCTTCGTCCAATATTGCACCAATGTGATTTTTAGTTTTATTAGAAACATGTTGCATCCTAATAAAATAAAGATTGTGTATTTTAAGATTCCATTTATGTAATTTAATATAGTCGTTATTAAACATCTTAATTTTAGATTTTAAAAAATCAGTTTTTCAAATAATAATTTAAATGTCAAATGCCTGTTATATCCTCAGATCAAGTTTCATTCAAATTAACAGAAAAAAAAGTGTAAAAATATGTTTCTTTGTTGATGAAATAATTCCAAATGACAAAAAATTTGTGATTTGATTACGTCATACCTTTCTTTGTAGACACGCACCTAAAAAAATTAAAGCCAAATTAATCTTGCACCTTATTACTTAACTTTTGAGTGAATGTTTTGTGTTTTGAATGAATATTGAATGTCTGTACACTAGTTTGGACAGAATCCTGAAATTTGAAGCTTAAAATAAAACTTGTGGAGCTACATTTTAGTAGAAGCATAGTATGCATTGTAGAGACAGTCTGGACTGCTTACAGTCAGAATGGTCAAGACTACTGCATAGCAATCTAGAGAAGTGTTTAAGATGACACCCATCCAAAGTATATTTTTGTTAGACAATTACAAAATCTTTTCAATCAGAAATTTATACAAAAAATTAGTTAAAATCCTCTTGAATTCTGAACAGTTCTAATAATTTATAAAGCAAATGGGAATGTTTTGGGAAAGACCTTGTTTGGAATGACATTTAGTGATGTCGAGATCACTAAATGTCATTCCAAACAAGGTGCTTGAATCGATTAGAATACATGCTTTGAGGAGAATGACATTCAGTGATCACTGAATGTCATTCTCCTCAAAGCATCTCTTCTAATCGAATGCATCTTCGTTTATCTTTTCAAAGCATCAATTTGCTTTGAATATTATTCCAAATTATAATAGAAAGCTTCTGAGTAATACAGGGTCTTCCAAAATGAATGCTACCATTTTAAATTACTGTAATTACATTAATTATTATCTGAGAAGTATGCAATGTACACCAATCGATAAAGTAACTGTTCAAGTTTCGTCTCCCATCTGCATTCAGACATCTTGTTGTCTATTACCTCTAGAAAGTGCCATAAACGAAAATGGCAACTCTGAAAAGTTGGAATCACTTTTCAATGTACAACGTTGTGGCTGCTGCGGGAGAAGTGACAGTGGATATGTTGCAGCGAGTGTAGGAAAAAGTCGAGTATCAGTGAGCAGATTATGTCATACAGCACACATCTGAATATATGCCATACAACATGAGATGCACACATTCAGAAATTTTAATGGGTAAATGTCAAACTTAAAACATTGGAAAACTGTCAAATGTGGATTACAATGCTCTCAGATAATAATTAATATAATTACACCAATTTAAAATGGTAACATTATTTTTGGAAAACCCTGTATATACCATCTTCAGAAATGTCACAAAGATCTTTAAACCTGGAATTCCTGAAGATAAGTATATATTATTCAACATTCTACTATAATTTATTATATTTCATCGATCCACTAAGTTACTTCCGCACTGTACATGTGTGCATTCACTAGTTTCAATTTTTACTTTCCCAGCTGTTACATATACATAACAATGGAAAGTATTGGAATCATGTCAAATTTGACCTTCCAAATTTTTTGCAAATCTCTATGTTTTGAGACCTTCTGAACACAAAAAGTAAAAAATGGAAAAAAAACTCTATGGATGTGTTGGCAAAACTCTGTGTGTTGGCATCTATTTTACTTAATATCTCAGGATAGGGTGAAGATAAAGAAACCAAATTTGGCATGGTAGCTTGCATATAAGAAGCATTGATGCTATTAAATTTTAGTGGTGAAAGGTCAAGGGGATGGAGAGAGAGAGGTGATCATGTATCATATCTTGCAAGGAATCAGATTTAACAAAGATTAAGCAGACAACTTTTGCTATTAGAACTGATAAAGAGCTTTTCTATAATAGCTTGTTTAGAGTTGTTTCCATTGTTCAAATGCAGTATTCCAAAAAAATATTTGTTACTATAATTCCTAAGTAACAAATATTATAATCGTTTCTCAAATAAACATTTTTACAAGCAAGCAATTTTTCTTTACAATATAAAAATAAAGAATTCAAGTCAAATAAAGCTTAATATAAAATAATATATAAAACTAATATTTTTTTTTTACAAAAGAAAATGAGGAGTATGTGGCAAAGTGATGCAAAATGCTGGTATGAAATAATGCAAATAATAATGTATTATTTTTAGTTACTTTTAACAAGTAGAAAAAATTTTGTCAATATACTCTATCATAAAAGAATGTTAATTCAAATAATCAACTTTTAATGGTTTCCTTCCTTATCAACTTCAAGTTAATTTAAGATTATAGTAATGTAAATTAAAGATAACTGCCAGAAGCCAACACTGTTAAGGATATTGTTCTTTGATTATAGCTACCAAATTACTTGATTAATTTTTACAGAATTTTTTCCTAAATTAAAATTAAGAATGATTACATATTATATTGACTAATTTAATAATTTATATATTTAATTAATTAGAGGGGGTCGGAAATCGCAATAAAAGTTTGAATTTTTTAAAAATATTTAAAAATATACGTGTCGCTTATATTCACCCTACTTTAAACCCTTGTCCTCCGGAGACGTATGAGAATGTCCCGGGAAATCCGACTCCAGCTGTTCTCAAGGTCATCCAGCTGTGTAAACAATGACTCATCAGTGTTAAATTTCACGGAAAGGCGAGACAAAGGAAAATAAAATTTGAAGCTTTTTCTTCAAAATTAACGCATTTCTTTCGTTTTTTTAGTTTTAAGTATTTTTTTAATGTATTTTTTATGCTTAATTACATCATAATTAATTACAGGTGGTCGTTAAGGGGTTAAATTTTTGCTGTTTAATGATATTTGAAAAATATAAGCATTTTAAGACAAATGTCAAGTTAAGCAACATCAAGATGTATTGTAATATTCTAAATATTAAACTGAACAGTTTCAGAATATATAGATATAATTGGTTTTAATGGACTAATGGTTAAAAAATTTGTTAAGGTAGCAGCCTACTGCTACTGGATTGAATTCGAATGGGTCAAAAAAGTTCAGAAAATTTTAGGAGTTGGTCCATATGGATATGTCAGGCCCCATCTCTCACCATTCAACAACCCCATCATATGCCTTGTTGAACCCATAAAGGCTTGCTTAAAAACTCAGTGCCCACTTAACAGAAAGAGTTAAAAAACCTGTGCTAGATTATAAAGATTTTTGAAGCTTTAATATACAGTATTATATTTTAATCTTTTAATTGCTTAGTGAATATTATCTTACCATTGAGGTGTATTCATGTGTGGCAAGAAAGGTCTTTGTCCAGTAATAACTTCATGCGCAACTAACCCAAAACTCCAATAATCAACAGTATTTGAATATTTATTTTGCATAAATAATTCAGGAGCCTAAATTTAAACAAAAAAACTTATTTATAATCTGAAATATAAAAAACGAGCATTCAAAAATTAATTACAAAATAACTTACTAAATATTGCAAAGTTCCAACAAATGAAGTACATAAACTACCTTGATCCAATTCCTTTGCATATCCAAGGTCAATTAACTTATAAATAATCTGTTTAATATTTGAGAAATTTTTATTTGCATAAAAGAGAATAAAACTGATTAAGTGTTAAAGATTTATATAAGTAATTCGTACTTTGTTATCCATTTCTTGTAACACGATGTTTTCAGGCTTTAAATCCCTGTGAATGATACGTTGCGAATGAAGATACTTAATTGCTGCAGCAATGTGCTTGATTAAATTTTTGACTTCTCGTTCATTTAGACCACAGCAATTTTCAGACTTGGATAACACCTTAAATAGGATTTATGCAAGATCTAAATGTTTCTTCTATTAGAAAATAATTAAAATATTTTTTCTTACAGTGTACCTTTCTCAAGTCTCCGCCACTACAATATTCCATAGCAAGAAGTGGCAGTTCAGTTTCTGGCACATCTAAAGCTGGAGGAACTTCTAATGCTTTAACAACATTTGGATGAGACAGCCTTTTCATAATATCGACTTCTAATTTCCACCTATGCTTGTGTTTTGGTGTCATCATTGCATCGTGACCCCATCTGCATTGTTTCAAAGCTATAGTTTCAGTGGAATCCTATAATATAAAGTGATTTCATTCTTATTATCTATAATTATAAAATTTACTTTTATTATTTTATTTCAGTTAAAACATATCAGTAGAAAATCGATCACTATCCAATGCAACAAATAAGAAAAATATCTAAGCAAACAATTTAACAAATATCAATAAAGATAAAAGCAATAATTTGATCATTTCAGATCTAATAATTAAAACTTTTAACTGAAATCAATGTTAATTATGTGTTATAATTGTTCCTGTGATTTTTTTAGTCAATAAAATTCTAGCATTCTAGCATTTTGAATGTTCTCTTGTAAAGATATGTATTTAGACAGAAAAAAATTTGCAAAACAAATTAATGTTTGGAAACACAATGTAGAAACTTTATATGTAAATAACATGTTCTTTCTTTCCACTAGATAATTTAAATTTGATTGCCTTTAGTAACAACTTACCTACATAATATTTAAATCCAAATGTATAAAATATAAAGTTAATCATAATATATCATAAGAATAACCTCATCCTTAAATTTAACTTCACATTCTTTTTGCTGTCTACATTGTAATAGCTTTGTTTTGTTTTATAATGTGTTACAGTATCCATAATTACTAAAACAATATAATTCATATGCTTCACATCTAAAGTTTTTACATTATAGTTTCAAAGATGATTTATATATTCAGTTAGATTAATTTATATAGATCGGTTTTTCAACTTAATGTTCAAATAAACTGAAAACACTCAAAAACAAGTTAAACTGGCTCAAATAATTTATTTTTATCAACTACTTTTTTGAAAAAACTTTCAATTTTGTCCATAATCTTCAATTTTGTATGCAAAAACTCAAGTATGAATAACTTAAGCACTTAAAACTTCTGTATTGTACCTCACAACAAAGTACTCACAGATCTTCTTGCATCTGATCATTTGTTAGATCTGGACCACCTTTATTTTGATTTTCTTCAATTTCATTAGATGATTCTCTAGAACCTTCTTCAGTAACAGTTTGATACATTATTGATTATATTATCATAGCAGAAATTGGAATTTCTTTGTCAATTGCCAATCAAGTTTTAAACTTTCCTTTTGATATATCTTCTGTAGTGTTATTTACGATGTCTTCAAAAGACAACTTCATATTCAGTTGTCTCTCTCTATTTTTAACCACTCAGCAGTGAGCAACAACTATAGTTGTCAAGGGTGATCATGTGGCAGTGGTGAGGGACTTGTCAAATTCTTTTAGGGGGTATCGCCAAAAACTAGCCTAAAACTACCGCAAAAAAAATTCACGTAAAAAATGAATTAAGTAACAATAAAAAAAGACTTTACTCTTTCAGAAAAAGATTTTGTAAACAGTTATGTCTAGTAAAGTAATGAGAAAAAACGCGTGGAAAAATACTTTAAAAAATTCCCACATTTATTCTCCACTATTGGGGGTAGAACCATACCCGACTAGTCCACTGTTGAAAGCAGGGCTGTGGAGTCGGAGTCGTGGAGTTTTGGTGTTTTAGTCAGAGTCGTCAAAAAATTTGCTGACTCCAACTCCTTTTTACTTATCAACTTGTTATGTATATAAAATGGAAAGGTATTGGAATCATGTCAAATTTGACCCTCCAAGTTTTTTTGCAAATCTACATGTTTGGAGACCTCCCGAACCACTCAAAAAAGTCAATAAAGGGGAAAAATTCGCACTCGTGTGTGTTGGCATCTAATTTTTTAATTTCTTTATTTTCTGTTCTGAGATATTAAACAATATCTCAGAATGGGTAAAGTTTAAGAAACGAAATGTGGCACTGTAGCTTGCATATAAAGGGGCATTGATACTATTAAATTTTGGTTCTTAATTAAAGGTCGACAGGGTGAAGACATAAAAGTGATCATGTGTCATATCTCTTAATGAATATCTTACTCGTTAATAGCGTTCAAAATTTAAAAAAATAAAATAAAACTCATCTCTACCCTCAAAGTAAGCTTTTTTGCCATTTTATAATAGTACAGTAATACCCCGAACTTACGCGATAGGTGGGACTGAGCGATAACCGCGTAAGTCGAATTCGTGTAAGTCGGGGTATAATTTCGCAATTTGTGTAAAATCCAAATTGGAGGTATGTAAGCTAATAAATGTTCTAGTTAATCTTATCTCGTCTTTCGATTTATTCACGGTTACAAGAAATCACCACATAGAGTCTTTCAAGTCTCCATAGATATAAATAACACAAAATAAATTGTAGCTATGTGTCGATTCCGTGCGACACGTCCGAACATGTAAGCTGAACAATAGTGTGGGGGAGTGAGTAATCAAAGAGTTTCCTGGCGCTCAAACAGAAGACGATTCGACGAGATTTGAAAATCGCATAACTCCGGGTTCGTGTAAGTCGGAGTAGCGTAAGTCAAGGTATTACTGTACAGTAAAATCGGTTAAGATGTTCTTGCCTAAGATGTTAGAATGTATATGGGGACATGATTTAGTTCAACCAATTTGATGCTTAATAACTAACTCCTGTGTTAAACCATCTGACTCCAATTCTGACCACTCCGATCACAGAAATTATTAGGCTTCAAACAGGGTGAACAAAATCATGCCCCCCACACACAGTCTAACATCCACACATATAGAAAAACCTTGAATCTTTTGCATATCTCGAAATTTCAAGGCGTCTTGAGTCCAAAAATGTAAAAATTTGGGAGGGGTCATTTTTTTTACCGAGCGCTACACTTTTCCTCTGTTATATATAACAGCCAGAAAAGTAAAAATTATAGAATACATATTTATATATTACTTAGAGAAGTCTTTTAGCTTTGGAATAAAAAGTTTCTATGCTCTATCTTTATTAGAACTCTATTTATTGAATCTTTTATTCTGAGGTCACATGATGACATCAGAATTTCCAGGTCTCTTTCGGTAACAAGTCCACCCCTGGTCAGAGTTGGAGTGAGTTGGATGGTAAAGAAAAGTCGAAGTCTGTAGATTTTTACGCGACTCCACAGCCCTGGTTGAAAGGTTAAAGCAACTCTCAATGGTTTTCTAAGATTCCATGATGTTGCCAAGAGATATAATGTGTCAAATAAAGAAATTCTTTTAGCAAGAAAAGTAATGTCAGTTTGTCATTGACTATCATCTAGCTCTAAAATTCTTGCATAGATTTCATTTCTGTAGTATGACTTTAAGTTATATACAATTCCTTGATCAGTTTTAATGTCTTATTTTAATGACAAATTAAAATGCAATGTCCAGAAAATGTCTACCAACAAAATATTTTCAGGTTTATATTCCATTTCACTAAACAGTTGTTAAAAAGGTTAACTGTCATAAAGGCATACATATTTGAATAATAACCCATTAGTAAATACATGACACCCACCCTTAAAATATATAGGATTTTTACTTTATCCAATTACTTGAAGTCTTGGCATCACAAGCATCATAATCAATTATAAAATCAAAGAATGTATTCTTGGATTGGATATTCAAGTATTTTTTTTTTTAAATCTAAGTCGTCTCCAATTTAAAAAAGCCTGTTCAATTAAAGATTGGTGCAATTAGTAAAAGATTATTTGACTTCTAGTTTTTACACCAAATCACTGAAAGTTTTATAAAATCCAACATTATCCAAACATTTTCATGTAAAAATTATTAAAGAATATTACCTTTTCATAACCAAGCTTTTTTCAGCTAAAATTCTTTTTTAATAGCATAAAAATGAAATACCTTGAGAAGTCTAAGATAAATTTAAATCTGTCATTGTATGATTAAGATTTTTTGTTCATTTTATTATACTTTTTAATAGAGTAGAAGTAAATATTACCTTCTTTTTCCATAATATCACCATTCCAAATCCTCCATGTCCTAATATAGGTCCTCTTATCCAGCCATCAATCTCAGTTCCAACTTCAACTGGTCCTCCATTATGCTCCATATTCCTATTTTACAACTGAAACAATAATATTTCCATACATAAAACAAGCAAATAAACATTCTTTTCACATGTAATTTAGAAAGTGTAAAGAAAAAATATTTTAAATTATTATTATAAACCTTTTATATAATTTAATAATTAATTATCAGATTCAATTATTTAGTTGTACTTATTTACAAATCAGTCAATATTGCAATCCTCTGATAAATTCTTTAATCAGTAGTATCTGTGTAACATTTTGCAATGAATAGCTAAGTATTAAATTTTTGTATCTCAAACCAAACAATCAACATATTAACTGCAATAACTTTCTTGTGAATGAATCAATTTACTCGGAATTTTCTTCAACATTTTTCTATTTATTTTATAATTAATTTTTTTATCAAGAATATTTATTTCTTATCAGTTCATGTTTCTATTATTGAAACTTCCTGTGCAAATATGACTAAAAAAAAAATTGTAAAGTTATATCATGCATTATTAATATATAACCACATAACTATTCTGCTAGATAATGATATCATTTAATAGTATGTAGTAGAATAATTAAATTTTACAAAATTTCTTAAGGCAGATTTCAATAAAAATGTTTGAATCTATGCATATTTATAAAAGATAATTTCTAAATTCATGCAGGGTGTTCAACAATTTCCAATTTCCCTGAGATTTCTAGAATGAAAACTTGCATTTTTTCCTGACTGAACGAAAACAACTCACTGCAGAAATTAAAAACAGTTCACAGTTTATTTCATGTTATCAAATAAACTCACAGTTGTAAGGCTATTTAATTCCCTTTATTACAAAGCATCATTAATTTTTTCATTTTGATTAATGAATTCATGTATTATTGCTTCAAAATGTGCAGAAGATTGTATATCATGTACAGGTTCAACATGACAATTTTATTAAAATACAGATATTAGAATTGGCATTGTCAACCTTATAATGTAAACCAAAACTATGTTTTCCAAATTAAGCAATTTACAGTAAGTAAAAAAAAATCACAAAATAAAAAATAATCATACTCTTTATTAATTATAGAATAAAATAAACCTTCCTCTTTACAATTCTTCCAAATGTGCATTAATGTCCCAAATCATCTTATTAGCTTCTGCAAGATCCATCATCTCCTTTTCTTTAGATCTTTTGTCATTTTTGTAGCCGTTGACTTTTCACTCTACTCTTTCTCTTGCCTTATGTCTTCCTGTTTAAGCTACAAAGGTATCTTCTTTTTGGTTTACCATTAAGCATTCTTTGTTGATTGAAAATCCACATTCTACATGATTATTACAGTACTGTGGGACAGTATTAAAATCATCTTTGGAAATGTTTCAAATTCTTTTACATCACATTGATGTGACATACTAAGCCAAAAAGAATCAAACCTGTCATGCTGTCTGGAGTAGTGTTTAACCATATCACTAATTCCTGGGATGATAAAATGTCTATATTGCTTAGCAATTTTATCAGTTGTAGAACCATTTATCCAGTTATTAGTCACATGAGTTTCTAATGTAATATCTAGCAGTTTTTGTGCTCTCTATTCCTTGCATAAGCTAAATTTAAGCATGACAGTATTTCAGTGGAAATTTTTTCATCAATTTGGCAGTTGCAAACTGCTTATAAATTGTAGTCTTTTTGAAATTCTAATATCACTCTATTAGTTACTACCTTCATTCTAACTTTTCTAATTTTCCAATCTTTGGAGGCATATCCAAGGTCTACTGTATGTACTGTGCAGAGATTTTCTGCTTTGTTGAGATCCACATCAGTAATGAAACTCACAGAATGTTTTAATTTGCAATCAAAGGTTCAGAACAGACTTTTATTAAGGAAATAGTTTAAAAAAAAGTGACAAGTGTCAAGAAATTAGTAACCAAGAAGTGACAATTAATTTACAAAAAATGAAGGCATAGGAATGTATTCACCAAAAACATCTCATATCTCTGAATTAAATTAAGCATATTTAATCCAGATATTACATATAAATTATATAAACATATTATTGATCAAACTACTGTTTTCATAAAAAATAATTATTTGTTATTATAAAATCTATATTGTCTAGTAAATTAAACATTTATAGCAAGTAAAAGTTGTTAATTTATATAGATTTCACCATTAAAATCAACAAAATTTCAATAAATGGGTGATACTCAAATAAGGTAAAATCAATTAACCATAATGAAATCTGTTCAAATTACAGTTAACAGGTTTAACATGCTGTAATACTGGAAATTATACTAATGTCACTTAAAATGTTTTGCTTCTGAGCTCCTCATTTATATTTTGAATCTAATACACATTTCATTTCTCAGCTTCTCATAAAGTTGAAAAAAAATGCACATTAATTAAGATAGAATAAGCATGGTAACATCTTTCCAAAAGAGACTTTTAGTTGAAATAGTGACCAGTTCCAAACCCTGCAAGCATTGTTGAAGTATAGATGGATTCTACATACCATTTATTTGGTAAGAGCTTTGAAACAGTGTTGTGAACAGACCTCCACTACTATCTCATTTCCAAAGAAAACTGACTGCTAGCTAGGGTTGACAACTGCTTTTCGGTGAATCCCACAACACTTAAAAATAAGCTGTTTACAATTGAAAAAGCTACATTTTTTCATAAAACAATTAAAAGCTGCATAATTAAAATTTTATACTTTCTTGAAACATTGGAGTGAAAATATTAGTCCCACTGTCCCATAATAATAGTAGCAAATGAATATTTAAATGGGAATTATTGGCGAATACAGCTGTAAGTTATATTGTAGTGCAAAATTGCAAAGCCTTCAATCAAAATTAATTTTTCATGACATCTGTCATTTGTTTTGACACATTTTTCAATTTTTGGTTTAACCTAAATTATTTCAAATTATAAGTATTTTTCTAATTTCATTTTATTTCAGTTGAATATCAACCCATTATAAAGGTAAGATGAAAAAAAGAGAGTTTTCGAGCAAAGATCAAGTTGCAATTGTTCAGTTCTTGATATATCGAAAGTAAAACGAAAAGTTGCAAAAAGATGCAATTATGTTAACTGCAAAACAATTTGAGTGTAAAAGAATGAACATATCAAGAATTTGGAAACGTGCTTCTAAAAATAATTGTCAAAGTGAATCTTATGCTAATGTTGATTCATTGAAAAAAAAAATGTGGATGTCAATGCAAAGATGATGGAGAAAAACTTAGACATATTCCTCTTAACAGAAGACGCATCATAATATCAGCTGCTCACACCATTTAAGTTCCCAAATCTACATTATTCCAAATTTTTAAAAAAGGAAAATCCATAAAATGAGTTTCAAGCACCATCAAACCATTTCTTACAAATCAAAGCTTTGAAGCCGAGAGATCCTACCTACAAGTTTAAAATGCAGTAATTAAATTATTGAAAAATCCAGAAACTATATGAACACTCAAAATGAAAATTAGGAGTAATATTTTTAATTCATTGTTTAATTTAATCTAGTACAGTGGAACCTCGGTATACGACCTTAATCCGTTCCTGATGTTTGGACTTATACCGAATAGGACGTATACCGAATCAACTTTTCCCATAAGAAGTAATGTAAAAATGATTAATCCGTTCTCATGAAAAAAAAAATGGCTGGCTTTAAACACCTTGCTTTCCTGCTTGATTTTTCATGAGATCAGCATGTATCTTTTTAGCTTTCTCACAAATAATTGCTTCTGATACGCTGTCTCTAGCACACTGTTTTTCAGTTATCCAAAGCACAAGCAATTTCTTAACATGATCTAATGTCTTCAATCTCTGTTTAGAAATTGATTTAACTCATTTCGCAACATTAGCAGATTTAATAATGTCTTTATTTTTCGCAATTGTCGATATCGTCGTTCTCGGAATATGGTATGCAACAGTTAAAATCTCAAACACGCGTGCCACCTTCTCAACAGTCTTCTTTTTTCAGTTCCATTGTGATTTTAGTCATTTTTTTTAGTTTTCTGTTGCTTTTCATTTGCTTTTTGCAATTCATGATTAATAAAAATAATAAAATTTTACTTACAAATTAAAATCAGAAGAAATTTAACAAAGTTATAAACTGTGGCACTGCGAATGTCTAGTCTGGCCTAGTACACCGATAGTGCTACTTGTTCATCGATGGCGCGTATAATTGAATTAAGTCGTATACCGAACAAAAATCGTATACCGAGCAAAATTTGTTTCATCCAAACAGGACGTATTCCGAGGTACCACTGTATTTTGATAATAAATGTTGTATTCTATATTTATTTTCTCCTATTATTATGGGACAAATTAAATTCATTAACTGCTACTATTATTATGGGACAGAGGGAGTAGTAATTTTTATACTTAAATTTAATCAGCATGCATGATGTAAGCTTAGATCATTGTGCATATCATGTGGCTTAACAATTCAAATCGCTTCTATTGTTTCCTTTCCTGTTATATGATGCATTATACACTCTGCAATAATATTTGTTTTTTTTCCTTTTTCAGGTTTAATATCAAATTCCTTGAGATTTCCAAGACTTTTCCCTTATCTGATAAATTCTCTGACATTTCCAGGTTTTCAGGTCCATTGGAAACCCTGGAATAATCATGGAATAAATTATCTGAATCTTCAAAGGATCAAAGAAAGCTCTGCAAAGGTTCCAGAAAAATCAGGGTTACTGACTTGCAATATATGTTGGCCAGTGTAATAGATTCACGGCTGCCATGTAGAGTAGCAAACACACCCAAACAACCTTAAAATGCAGCAAAATCTTTACTAACTAGAATGTTTTTGATTGTTTTTAATGACCATCCTCGAGTAGAATACAAAATGGAATGCCAAACAGAAGTTTAAATAGTAACATTCTATAATACAAATTCAAACTTGATGATTGGACCATTAACCAATCGTAAAAAAAAAAAACAAATGTGTAACATTAAACTAATTCAAAAATAATAACATAAAAATAAAGTAAAATAAGTACCAAGAATAAACAGTTAATACATAAATACAATAAAATAAATAAAAAATATATAAA